GGATGATAAAACCAAACCATGTTTTTTGTTGCCAAAACCCAACCATGTGCATTTGTTTTTGATAACCGAAGTTTATTTTGAAAGAAGTCAATGCATGTAACAGGCAGAACTTGACACGGTGTCCCAGAACTTACACAACCAACGCACCCAGGGTACCTTGCACGTCGTATCTGGATGTAGCAAGTCCATGACCAAACGTCGATATGTGATGAGATCGGAGTGAGAATGTGTTGAGGGCTTTTCAGGGGTTATGAGCCAAACTATTATTTGAGAGAGTGACTTTCTTGGCAACCAGTGGGAACTCCAATAAAAGTCTCGCCCATAACCCCTTGTAAAAATATTAATTGCCCTTTTGACATTTCAGTAACAGCACAGATTAAACAAACAAGATGCTGAGAGGTAGATTCAGGGACTTTTGGACAGAGCCAAGCTAGCTGTTTCCCTCTGCTCCCAGTCTTTATGCTAAGCTACGCTAACCATCTCCTGCTTCACATTCACATTTTGCTTTGTCATTTTAGCAAAACTCAAACACTTAAACTCACAGTTCCCAGCAGCAGAGAGCCACAAAACACACACTGACATCTAACATCGCTCTTGCAGGAGCAGTCATCACATCTAATTTGGTTTAAATGCTGATCTGGAGTGTCACATGGCCCCTAATGCTTTGATTCAGAAGCTTCTCTGCATAGTAAGAAACAGAATGAAAACACATAAATATTGTTCTCTGGCTGAGTTCCCCTCGGTACAGACGAGTCACCCAGTGTTCCCCTCCGCCCCTGCTCAGGTACTGAGGGCTCAGCGCTGGGTGAATAGAGGACACATCTGCCCCAGAGCTCCACAGACAACACAGCAAATGAGCACTCGCTGTCATATTGCAACGCGTCAGCTTGATGTACAGCATAGCCGACATATTTTAATATCCTCCTCACTGGGTCTGGTGACTGGCTGTGCATATTCTCAGTACAGTGGAGCTAAATATACTGTAGGGTTGCTCTGCACTCACTTTCAGCATGTGGGCTGATTTAATGCAGTTGTACATCATTTTGCTCTCAGGTTTATATATTGGTACGTGAGCTTATGTGCGTACTGCAGCCTCCGTGTTGTCTTTTCATTAGTGAGCTTTGATTTCACACTCATTCGATCACATGCAGTGTTCTCTATAATAACACCAGCAATCTTCAGAAGAGGACAGGAGATAAAAGATAAAATAAATAAATAAACATTACAATAAAGATATGAATAAATAATAAACAAATACAGGCATAAATATATGTATTGTATAAATAAATACAGGAATAAATGAAAATGTTAATAAATAAAGAAATATTGCAATAAATACAGGAATATAACTAAATACATTCATGCATGAGTAAATTTAATACATAAATAAAAACAGGAATAAATAAATATTACAATAGATACAGGAATAAAAATGGATGATAAATAAATGTTACAATCAATACAAGAATAAAAATAAATAAATACAGGCATAAATAAATGTAATGTATAAATAAATAAATATATGAATAAAAAAATAAATTAAAATATATAAATAAACATTACAATAAGGACAGGAAAAAATAATAAAAAAAAATAAAAGCATAAATAAATACAGGAATAAATAAAAATGTAAATACATAAATAAATATTACAATAAATACAGGAATAAAAATAAATACATTCAGGCATGAATAAACTTAATATATAAATAAAAAACATAAATAAATAAATAAATATTACAATAAATACAGGAATAAAAATACATAAATACAGGCATCAATAAATGTAATGTATAAATAAATATGGTAATATATTAATAAATATGGGAATAAATTATTGCAAAAAATAATAAAAATAAAATAAATTTAAATAAAAATGCTGACATAAATTAAAAATAATAAATAAAATAACAAGTGTTGAAATAAATATGGACATAACTAGAAAAATACATACATGAATAAATAGAAAATATATTTAAACAAGACATAAATATCTTACATTTCGCTACACTACAATTATTTTCTGTATTTCTGTTTCTGTATGTTAATGAGGTTACCCTAACCGCTGCATTTATTTATCTATGCATGAATTTATTTATTCCCATATTTATTTCAGCATATATTTATTCTTTTGTTTATTTATTTAATTCTGTATTTATTTATTTAAACTTATGTCATTTTTTGTCCTCCATACATGTCTGGAGCCAGCATGCTTTGCCTTGTGCTGCACGTGAACATATTTAAGAATATAAAGGGTTTAGATATAAAGTAAGACGTCCTACAGCTGCCACCTAGAGAGAGAGAACAAAGGATAGAGATATTATTAATGATATGAGTCATCTGAAGACATTCGCAGATGCTTATCTGTGTTTTTTAATATTTAATGGCAGCTGTTCCCCTTGAAATTAAATATATGGCACACTGAATGACGTTGATGTAATGTTTTTGTTGCTCTGTGACCTACATGTAGGTCTGGGTGGATAGAGACGCACATAGAGTTACTAATTATACATAAAGCCTGGAAAGCATTTTTCTCATCCTGGGACATCACAACACACTTTGTGGGGAGGTGTATGTGTGTGTATGTGTGTGTGTGTGTGTGTGTGTGTTCATACAGTATACATGAACTTCCACCAGCCTTTAGCTGGAACCCCAGATACTTGACCCACAAACAATAGGCCGCTGACAACTCTCTGCGTTTAGTCTTTAAAATCATAATAATATAAATGCATCAGTAATCCCACCTCAGCCTCAAGTCTTTACACAATCAGAGCAGACACATTAATGTGAGTGAGTCCCCTTTAAAACCATATTTTCCTCCGCTGATGTCTTCTGATCACCTGTCAGAGGCGGAACATGCGCGCTGAGCAGCAGAGCCAAGACGCTGCCGGAGAATCTGCGTCGAGATAACCAGGGTTACACAGAGAAGACCGGAAGTAGTCAAAGTTTGGTTTCAATGTAAAAGCCTCAAATGTTTAGTAGGCAGTATAATGAATAGTGCAAGGGTTTAGGAGCAAAATTAAAAACTGAGTCCAGTATTTTTAGGTGAAGCTTTGACTTATTTTACACTTATCTGGTATACAACCTACACAGCTTATTCTCTGTGAGGTGTTGTGTATAATTTATATCAAGTATTGTATTGTTTTTAAATGTTTGGATTTATCTGCATTATGTCGTTAAGATGCTTTTAAATGCCAGGTAATTATGATTTATTTATTTTGTTTTGTAAAATCTACCAGAAAACACCTTCTGTGACTGTGACTAGTTTATTTGATTTTATTTATGTAAAAAAATCCTTTTCATAATATAAAAAAATGATATAAAGATAAGTTCAATTGTACAATAAATAAATAAATAAAATGTAGGGATAAGAAAGAAACATTATACAACAAAAACTTTAGAGGTCTGCTAGATAAAGGGGGGAAAACTGAAATGTCTATTTAGTGTAATAGTTTTTGCAAATTTACTATTTTTGAGTTTTTAATTTTCAATAGTAATCAAGTACCTACTAAGTTTTAAGCTCAACTTTATTTAATACTTTCATTATTCTATAGGAAGCGTGTATGATCTAGATTGTTATTATAAAAGTTGTAGAAAAATCTATTTTGCAGTATAAAAATAATACAAAAATAAATTCAATTGTACAACAAATAGATAAAATGAAGGGAAAAGGAAGAAACACACACAGACATGCACAGACACACAAAACATCAGAGTAAAACTTTAATGTCTAAATCTCCTAATGGTGTTTACCAATTTATAATTTTGAGTTTTAAGTTTTCAATAGTAATCAAGTTTGTTTTAAGATAGTATCATTGAAATATAAAAGGAGGGTAAGGGTTGAATTCTAAATATTAATGCTAGTTAATTATGGCTATATTTTTTGAAATCTACAAAAAATCCAAATGATGTTTAATGTATTAATGTATTATTTTTTAATGTAATTGTTTAATATGTTTTTATGTATAAATTCAGTTCTGTTGAATACAATCATTATAGGGAGTATGTGAGATCAGGGTTTTTATTTAAAAGTTACAAAGATAATGTAGATATTATTTCAATTGTACAACAAATAAATCAAAAAATTTGTGATTTTCAAGTTTTAAAATCTCAATAGTCGTCAAGTACCATGTTTTTGTATCTTTAGAAATACATAAGGAAAGTTGGGGTCGAATACCTAAAGTAATGCCTGTTAATTGGGATTTTTTTTTTTGTAGAATCTACCAGAAACCACCCTCTGTAACTGTGAGCAATAGTATTTATTTATTATTTTATTGTATTTTATTTATAAATTCAGCTTTATTGAATACATTCATTACAGGGGATATGTGAGTTCCAGATTTTTATTTAAAAGTTACAAAAATAATGTAAAAATAAATTCAATAGTACAACAAATAAATCGATAAATTTGTAACTTTTAATTTCAAATTTTCAATAGTGGCCAAGTACTGCGTTTTAAATTAATGCCTGATAATAGGAATTTTACTTTTCTTTTTTTTTTTTTATAAAATCTACCAGTAACCACCCTCTGTGACTGTGAGCAATAGCATTTATTTATTTATTTATTTTATTTTAATTCAATTTATTTTATTTTCTAGATTATTATGTTGTTTATAAATTTAAAATTATTGAATACACTTATTACAGGGGGTATGCAAGACCCGGATTTTTATTTAAAAAGTTATAAAAAAGAATAATAATGTGAAAACAAATTCAGTTGTACAACAAATGAAGAAAATATAGCAAAAAGAAAGACACAGCAACGACAAAAACTTTCTTGCTAAGCAAAAGGACTTAAACTGAAATGACTAAATCGTTTTTGCCAATTTGTAATTTTATATATATTATTTAGGCCTATATTTTTTTAAAAATACAAAAGGAGAAACAGGGTTGAATACCCACATCAGTGCTGGTGAATTGGGATTTTATTTTGTAAAGCCAACCGGAAGCCACCCTGTGCGCCTGTGAGCAGTAGTAAGACAGAGACCCCCCTCACGGAAAACTGTGGTAACTGTGGTGTACAGCTGCAGAGATGCGCGACACAGAAAAACAAGGAGAAAGGAGGGAAATGGAGACCCAGCACAGGGAAGGGAAGTAACCACTGAAAAATAAAGCCCACACATGATCTGAGATGCTCCGAGACACCAAGGGACACCGTCTGTGGACATAAAAGCACCGGAGAGGGGGCTCGGATCGTACATTGATCCGAACACAGGGGACGGGAGGGGTCGATCATGGGGAACGAAGCGAGCCTGGAAGGAGGCGAAGGGCCGCCGTCTGGGCTGCCGGAGGGGCTGGCACCGGACGGGAAGGGCGGCTTCGTCCGGGTCTCCGACGGGACTCCGGTCAACCTGAGTGAACTCAGCGAGGAGCAGAGGAGGCAGCTCTCCGCCGCGATGTCAAGGGCGCAAGGCAGGCAGCCCGGAGGCGCAGCAGCTGCACGAAGGCAGGGCTTCATATCCAGCATTTTTCCTTTTTTAATTTGCACCTAAAATACCCTCACTGACACGGCTGTGATACGTGACGGAGAGGGTGTGTTGTGATGTGTGGAGCATCATTTGGGAAGATGCTGTAAGGAGGCTGAGCGCGCGTTCACGCCCATTTTTGATCCTCCCAGCCCGCACCAAGAAATCTATTCTTAGAGCTCAGTGAAATGGATTATCATTAACATCTGATCATCTGCATTACAACAAAAATCTCATTTTAATACAGCTGTAAAATGGCTGATAATGTGCAGCTTTATATTATCTGCAGCCTCTATTAAACTGTCGACATATTATATATAATATTCTAACGCTTAATGTGTGAAATGAGTCTGATTAAGATGCTTTGGCTCCTTGGTGTGTCCCTCAGTGTGAGATCAGAGAGTAAAGAGACACACCTCCAGTAGCTATTTGTGCGAAAATCTCGAAATGCCTGCTGGGTAAGAAAATCTGTCGTGCCCAGTGTTTTTTTCCCCTCTCTCTTCTTCCATCTGAGCGACGCTTGAACACCCAGCTAAACAAATCCGCCACCTCTCCCAGCTGTGTGTGTGCTCTCTAATGTCGCCAATTAGACCTCTGAATGTGGCATGGATTGGATTTTAATCGGCACACAGTGTTGTGGAAGGAGAGCTGACACTGGAAACAATATAATGCTGTAAATATTACTCATATAGGAGTGGAATATTCCTCGATGTGTGATAGAAATCACATCAGATGCAGTGCTGCTAATTGGCTCCAAATTGAGGGAGGGGGGGGATTGTTATTTATATCTGAGCTGAAGATGGGGGGGTGGGGTGCATCAATATTAATATGTCTATAAATAGCACAGCAGTTAATGTCATCACTCCCAGGCTTCCCTCCTGCTGCTTCATGCTTGTTTTTGTGTGTTTGGTTTTTTGCATCTGGTGCTGCTGAGGCAGCCTGGTTGCTGTCCACGGTGCTGAAACCCACCTTGGTGCTGAAAAACACGCTGCAGTGCATTGGCCGGTGGCTGGCATTGCAACAGCGAGCACTACTCCGACTGTTTGCTCTGCTTTCACCATGCAAAGTCAAAAAAAAAAAAAAAAATCAAATGCTGTTTTCATTACAGCATCAACTTTACAGCCTGGTAATGTGATTTAGAAGCACCAGGGACTTTGCAACCACTTGGTGTGTATGTCGCATATCATCGTACGATAACAAAACATCAGCCCATTAGTGCGTCGATGCATTTCTCTGAGGATCCCGTGGACTTTGTGTGAAGCAGCGTGTGTAGGTTGTGTACGTCGCCTCGCAGCCTGAGCTAACAAAGATGTCTCCGCTTACCCCGGTGGAGGCGAGCGCTTCCCTTTTCTATCTCAGTGATCTACACTCTGTCATTCAGCGGTATTCACTTTCCTGTCAGCTTTACCCCAGGGCTGCGAGCTACACATTCTGTGTGCACTGATGTGTTGAGAGGGCCTGGGATTAACAAAGAGCAAGTTGTGTGGTCTTAATTTAGCACAATGAAGCTACAGTAGAGGAAGAGGAGGTAAAAAACAACAACATCCTGAGCCAGTGGTTCCCAACTGGTCCAGATTTCTTCGTTAGTTCAAGGTCCAGACAGTTCAGTATATTCAGCATCGTACTTGAGTCTGGCCATGTTGTCGAGCTAGTTTGCTGTCTCTGTCAAGTAGCTGTCTGTTATTCAGTCACTCTACAGCAGGAAAATAAAAGCTCCATGCCAGAAATTCACGTCAGTCAGGAACACTTTAGTCAAAGAAAACTTTATGTCCATTTGCAGTATTATATTTGGGGGTATGGCTCTGTTCAGGGGCCTCACCACCTTAAACCTACGTGGAAAGCCTAAGGTTGAGAGAGCACACCTCTGCCCTTCCACACGCCTGCAGAGAAAGGGCAGAGAGAGCACACCTGTCTGCCCTTCCATGTGCACTTTTATACAAGTACACGGCAGCACAAATACAAAAAGGCACCAGTACGCAGTGTGAAGAAGACGTGTGCACTGAACTGACAAAAACCTTAAATTAATGTCTCTGAGATTTTATGACATGAAATGTGTAAAATGGGCACATGCAGAGAGGGAGGCTGCACCTTTGCTCCTTGATGTCCAAATTGCCCTTTTGTCAAGGCACATTTTATGTTTTGTTTGTTTTTGTGGAGGCCTGTCTGTGGCCTGTATCAAGATGAACATTTTACAATTAATGATAAATATAGCTTTAAATAAAATGACATGCTCCAGGCAAGCAGCAACATCGGAGGCTGAAAAATGAAGCCAGTGCAGGAAGTGCCAAAAACTGCGGTTCGGTCAGGACCACTTTAGTCAAAGAAAACTTTCCATTTGCAGTATTATATTTGGTGTTATGGCTCTGTTCTGGGGCCTCTGCCTTTCCTAGGTCTACACAGAAAGCAAGCCTCTTCTACAAGCCTAAGTGGAAAGCCTAAGAGAGGGAAATCACACCTCCCTGCCCTTCCATGCGCCTACACGGACAGCCTAAGGCAAAGAAAGCAAACCTCCCTGCCCTGTCATGCGGACAGCAGCAGCAAAGACCCCCAGGAACAGAACAGAGCAGCATCAATGACAAACAGAAATGACCTCGATAAGTCAGGCACAGCATGAAAAGGAGGAGCTGGGGTGGAGGCAGGTTGCAGATTTGCCAATTGGTTGCATAGAAAGGAATCATGTGATCTATTAGCTGACTCCCTTTCATCAGTCAGCTGCTCCATCAATTGATTGGGCTGTTTGAGATCAGCTGATGTAGCTGGGATGTGAGCCGAGCTTGACATTGTGTCCTGTCTGAACTTACAGTATGCTTAATTGTACTTAGATATGAAGGAGTTCAGACAGGTAAGAGGGACTTGATTATGAAGGGCTGTAAAGGTGAGAAGCAGTATCTTGAAATCAGTGTGTCAGTGAAATTTCTGGAGAACAGGAGTGATATGATCTATGGAGGGAGTTCTGGTAATGGTATTGGTGGCTGAATACTGGACCAACTGAAGTTTCTGTAGACACTTGAGAGGGAGACCAATGAGGACAGAATACTGATCGTTTGTTAATGTTGGTGTTATTTCAGACAGCATGAGTGTTTGTTTTTTGAGTCTTCCAGTTCTGTGAATAATTCACCGAGCAAATTACAGTGACACATTAAGGGATAAGGTAAAGGAGCTAAAGTATATGTTGGTGTGTTGTTTTTATTTTGGCAGTGAATCAGCTGAGGGTTGGTTTGGACTTGGCTTCTAAGATTTTCACACATCGCCAAAGTAAACACAAATCAATACAAGCACTGCTAACAAGTACTCTCTCTGTTTTTCTCTTTTCCAGACCGTCTGAATCTGATACACATCAGCGTTCCCAGCAGGTAGGGGCCTCCAGGGGCCCTTCAGGTCTCAGTAAGAGTCGCACTGTAGACGCCTTCAATCAGGGTCCACCTGGCAAGGCTGCCCCGGGCCGCAGCCCCTCGTCCCTCAGCCTTTTTGAATCTAGATTCCGGCAGGAGCCTAAAGACCCAGAGGCCAAGTCGTCCGGCATGTTTGGCTCCAGCTTCCTCAGCGGGGCCAACCCCCTCAGTGCCGTGTCGTCTATGACCTCATCTGTCTCCTCCTCCATATCGTCCATGGGCGATAATGTCAACATCCCCAAGTTTGGACTATTTGGGGACGAGGAGGAGGGAGATGCACCACCTGAGGCCAAGCAGGGAGGAAAGCCACCAGGCAAGGGCCCACAGCAAGGGCCAGGTCCAAAGGGACCTCAACAAGGAGGACCTCAGAAACAGGGTCAGGGCCCCCCTGGACAAGGGCCAAAGCAAGGGCAAGGACCCCCTGGGCAGGGACCCAGGCAAGGTCAGGGCCCTCCAGGACAGGGGCCAAAGCCAGGGCAAGGACCCCCTGGGCAGGGACCCAGGCAGGGTCAGGGACCACCAGGCCAGGGGCCCAAACCTGGCCAGGGTCCTCCTGGCCAAGGACCCCCTGGGCAGGCCCCCAGGCAAGGTCAGGGTCCACCAAGCCAAGGACCTCCAGGCCAACAGGCCCCCAAACCAGGACAGGGACCTCCAGGCCAACAGGCCCCCAAACCAGGCCAGGGACCTCCAGGCCAACAGGCCCCCAAACCAGGTCAAGGACCACCAGGTCAAGGCGCCAGACAGGGTGGCCCACCCCAGCAAACAGGTGGACCCCCTCAACAAGGACCTGGGAAGCCTGGACCCAAACAGCAAGGGCCACCAGGCCCTGGGGCTCATCCTGGAGAGACAGCTAAGAGCACAGGGCCTCCTGGTCAGCAGGGGGCTGGAAAGCCTGGAGGTGGACTCTGTCCGCTGTGTAAGACCACCCAGCTGAACACTGGGTCTAAGGATCCACCTAATTACAGTAACTGCACAGAGTGTAAGAACCAGGTCTGCAGCCTCTGTGGGTTCAGCCCCCCAGACTCAGCGGTAAGACACTGATCTTTTTCTTTTTGTTCCTTTGTTTTAGGTTTCTTTTCAAAGTTTCAGAACTGTTTAGCATTTCTTCAGTAAGTTCCTGAAATGACCTCCACTGATGTAAGCATTTTGTATCAGGAGCTGTCAGTTCTCTAAATGCTAAATATTCAATGGTCAAACAAAATCCGGGTCCACTGCTGACGATACTGACGTTTATCTAATGATACAGTCCATGTCATTAATGTCAGGGGGTAGGTCACATATTATTCAATTCTCTGCATGTAAAATATCAAAGTTTGCTCAAACATTGCAAAAATATAATCCTCAAAGCTTATTTACTCCAATATTCTGATTAAAATGTAGTTTTCCTTCACAAAAAGTTACAGGTTGATTAACATCTCAAAATTATTTTGTGATACAATTCTCTCCCTTTTTGTGTTTGTAAACCGTGATGACATATTTTGTGGACGGAGCCAAACTGGTGGTTGAGAAGGACCATAGGGGAGTTGCTGTGAGCGCCAAATAAAACATAAAAGGCACTATAATGTTTATATTTCTTAACCGGTTGCACTGACTCGTTTTTATATCCATGAGTTTATGATCTGCGTGTAGTGGGGGAAAAAAAGATTTGTCTCCAGTTAATTAGAATTTTGATATTTAGGCTATAATCATGGCTGCTCAATGCTCAGTAGAGGAGTGTGTTTTCAGCCTATTTTAATTATTTACGTTGTGAAAGAATTGTAAAAACTCAGGTTTGTCGGAATGTATTGATATCCTTGATAAATAGTTGTGGAGATTTCCCCATGTTAAAATGATTTAATGTGGAAGTACAACAAGCTACAAGCTTTTATTTATGAAACAATAAATTGTGAAGACAATAAAGCCTCCACAAAATAGCTTTTTAATTCTTATGATTTGACCTGGCTTCATATGAGCAGAGGAAATCTCTGCTAGTTGCTAGGCTAATTAAAACATGTAGTATGGCTAATTAAATTATAATTAAAACATGTAGTATGCCAAAGGCTTGTGCTAATAACGTTAGCATGTTATATTTGTTTGGAAAATGTGTTCAGTATAAGACAGTTGTTTTGTCGGTGAACCTTGTGAGTTGTAATGGAGCCGAATTTGTAACATTACCTTTGTTAAATGCTGCTGTTGTCCCTGGCTTCATATGAGTAGAGCAAAAGTCCACTAGCCGCTAGGCTAATTTATACAATGTAAAATGCCATAGGCTTGAGCTAAAAACATTAGCATGTTGTATTTGTGGGGAAAATGTGTCCAGATAAAGACAAGTGTTTGTCTGTGAATGCTGTGAGTTATAGTGAAGCTGATTTGTGTACTTGTGTTTGAAACTGTCTCTGTTAAGCCATGTTTAATGTGTGTTTAATGTGTGTTTAATGTGTGTTTTAGGTGTGTTTTGAATCAATTAACACCACTGCACATTCGCAAGAAAACACCTTCTTTGTTTATGTTAGCTTATCGCCTATAATATGCATTTAGATCGGTTCCCATCTGCATCCAGGCAGGGAAAGTGAAAGGCATGCTAACATTAGCGATGTATCTAATGTAGTTAGTGCACTAGATATAGTTCATTGCTGACAGCTAGAAACAAGGCTCCACGATTCATTGTCCATTTTAGAATCTAAAAAATAACATGTTTCTTGTGGTGTACTTTGTAAAATGAGCAGTAATACAAGTTACACTATTCTGTTATGATCAAGGAATTAATAAGCAGATAGCGTGAGCATCTCCACAAGTTCTAACCAAAGACAATATGCCAAATCCATGCTTGACAAATGCAAATTTTTACAATCACTAATTCTGTTCATGTAAACCAAACACACACTCCTCTATGGAGTATCCGGCAACGATTATAGCCTGAATATCGATATTATAATTAACTGGAGACAAAACTTTATTTGTTACTGTGGCGTCCTCTGCGATGGTTTTCTATTAAAATGAAAGCTATCTTATTCTATATTCCTGTTCTGACATCCAATGGCACAAGAAGACCTTTTTATTCCGGGTATGTCGACCGTATGTCTCCGATATCCACTGTTTTCTGCCACCAGTATGCGCACGCAACTGCTGTGACGTAACTGTGACGGAAGCAGTGGGAATTAGTTTGGCATGTTGAATAAAACAAGTAGATTTACAAAAGACATCATTGAATTCAACAACAGCCTGTTCTCTGAGCCTAGCAAAGTGAGTGCACCTCATAAGAGTGGCACATGATTTGAGGAACAGAGAGACCATATGGGCCCAGGGAATGTTGATCAAGGTGACTCATGTCATGGCCACAGGAAGATACTGTGCCAGCCAGTGAGGACACTCCGTCACACATGGACGGTAAAAACGCTGGTGGGCCGTGATTACAGCGCAGCAGAATGACTGGTTCCTTCTGTTTCAGCCTCTCCTTCGGATTTAGTATCGTGCAGATCAAAGCTGGTCAGAATAATCTACAAATATAACTCTGTTAGCAGTTACAGTATGCTGTACTGTAGTGGACGTGTTAGGTTGGGTGAATTGACCTCATCTGTGTTTACCTGACATGCAATAAGCACCATTACACACAAAAAACCAACGCATTGTTCTGTTCTTGATAGTGATCAGATTGTCAACATTGGCCCTTTTAAACACTGTGGTTTGCACACAGTGGAAACCGAGATACCCTGTAAACAAAGAGCACTGTGGTGAAGCCAGGCCTTTTTTGGGAACAGGTGTTTGTACGGTCAGAACAGAGACAATGAAATGCAACTGTTTATGATGGTCTAATATTTACAGTACCCACGAACAAAGAGCAAACATCATTGATACATGAAGAGTATTTGCCTTTCTGCTGAAAATGTAACAGACTTACTGCTGAACTGAAGCAATTATGTGAAGCAATGACAGTTTTTTATTCTAATTCGGTTAAAAACAAACATTAAATATCGTTATGATTAGTATTTATGTAACCGCTGCCAGATTTGATTCTCTCATGTTGTAAGAGGCATTTAGCTCGGGAAATTCAACATCATTTGAAACACTAATTAGTGGACATGTCTCTAAATTTGTCTTTATTTTACGCTGAGCAAAAAGAAAATGGTTATTTTAGAGGTTTAATTGGTTACGCTTGCCTGTGTATATACTGTAATTACACGTACTATTGATGTCTGTGCTCATAACAGTGTGGAGATTTGTTCCAGTCAAATCTAACCCATCTTTTGTTCCATGCGCAGGGTAAAGAGTGGCTGTGTCTGAACTGCCAGATGCAGCGAGCGATGGGAGGTATGGATCCCCCTGGCATGACAAAGCCCAAGCAAGGCTCGGCCCCACCCTCGCCCCAGAGACAGGCATCTGGCAAGCCTGGCAAGCTGCTGATAAAGCAGCAGAGTACCAGCGACCAAGGGTTGACGCCACCAACCACACCCAGGCAGAAATCCCCAGGCACTACCTCCCCTGGGCCACTTTCCCCCGGCTCTTCAATGGGCGGATCCCCTAAGATTGACCCCAAGACGGGCCGCTCCATTCAGCCCAAGTCCAGTCCCCAGCAGTCTCCAGCTAAACCCAAACAGGAGTCCAGCTTTTTTGGGGGCTTGGGAGGTATCAGTTTGGGAGGCTTGACAGACGCAGCCAAACCTCCCGCAGCTGCTTCACAAGCTGCCGAGTCTGTTACAGGGAAGCTGTTTGGCGGGTTTGGCGGTTTGATGGAATCGTCAAAGCCTCAAGCGCAGGCCGCGCCAAAGCAGGAGGAGTCGGTGGCTGGGAAGTTGTTCGGAGGTTTTGGAGGGTTGACGGAAACAGCAAAACCTCCCGCAGCTGCCTCAACGATGTTCAGCTTCGGATCGTCACTCTTGAGTTCAGCCACTAACCTTGTCACAGGAGAGGAGGAGAAGGCACTGGACTCTCCACCGGGGTCACCGCCGGACTCCGGACCAGGTTCCCCTCCGGATTCTGGCCCTGGCTCACCACCTGACTCCCCCTTCTCTGCTCCTGGGTCTCCTCCTGATTCGGACTCTGCTCCTGACACGCCACCTGCAAAGTCCAAGAAACCCCTCAGAGGCATTTCTGTGGAGCAGGAAGAGAAGGCGCCACGGGCCACACCTCCACCTCCACCTGCCCCGGCCTCAGTCACCAAGGAAAGCTGCCCTCTCTGTAATGTGGAACTGAACGTTGGATCAGCAGACACGCCCAACTACAGCTTCTGCACCGAGTGCAAGAAGACAGTTTGCAATCTTTGTGGATTTAATCCTACTCCCCATTTAGGAGAGGTAAGAACTACAGTTCTCTAAGCCCCGCAGCTTCGCCTTTCAACACACTGCACCTACCAGTAATTTATGCAATCTGTCGTGTATAAATAGAACGCAAACATTCTCTAGATGTTTCATTGAAATAGGTCACTGTAAAGATACCATCAGGAGTTTCAGCTCTGCATTTTTCCCCACTAGCATCTGGCAACTGAAAGGAGCTTATCACGTTATTAGTTTTACTGAGTACATTCATTTAGACTGCAATCATGACATCTGCACACGTCTGACCACTGAATGAATGGATGTGGTCAGTTATGCTGCATTTTAAAACGCCACTCTCATTACTGTTAAGCTTTCTTTAGTGGGGAGGTCGGCCAGAGAGATAAATTAGGTTGTTTAAATGGACGTCTCATCATCAAAGAGCACTTCAAACAATTGACACTTGACTCTGAAACTGAATACTCAGCATGTGTGTGTACACTATATGTGTTTGTGGCAACGTCTGCATCTGAATGCACAAATGTTTTCCTATTAACTATTCTGTTATTGTTGAATTGGATGCACACTTCTATGTTGGTATGATACTTGTATGTTAGCTCATGTGTGGTTGTGTATATGAGAGTTATTGTCTTAGCTTGTCTAATGATGATGTGGAAACCAAACACTTTTGGCCTGTTTATCTCCCAAGGTGCGGGGGACCGGCTTGCTGGTGTTACCGTGGTGTTTTGTCTCACGTGGAGGCAACATCACAAGACTGCGTTGAGTTTCACAGAACAGATGGTGCTCGATGGTGTAGGATCAGTATATTATGGGAATAAAGGCCAAAAAGGGCGTTCGGTTGAGTGGTCTCTCAGCACGCAGGCAAAACATATTCACATATGCTACACTCACTTAATATCCCATATGAAGCATCATTTTTAAATTGTCTATATGCCAGTCAGTCATAACCTACACATTTACTGAGAATTAAACATGGATGGTTACATTAATTGGAGCCGTTGGTCACATACAGTGTGGTGTTTGGTCATATCCTCTTGAGCTGGGGCACAATCACGTGTTTGTCAACCAGCAGCTCTATCCTGGCTTCACGTGTCACCTGCTTTGTCAGCCGATGGTTTAAGTGTGTCTTTGGTAATCTGCTGTGTATTTCCATCTCACTGAAGAGCCTTCTGTAACTAAGCTGGGAGTGGACTCTACTGTATCTATGTACAGGAAGTGCTAAATTCTCGGGGGAAATCAACTTTTTCTTTGGCAAAGGACTGCTGACCCTAAGGGTGCTTTCACACCTGCCCTGTTTGATTCGGTTCAGTTGAACTCAAGTTCGTTTGCCCCCTAAGTGAGGTTCATTTGAGCAGGTGTGAACACAGCAATCACACTCAGGTGCGCACCAAAACAACCAGACCGAGACCTTCTTAAAGAGGTGGTCTCAGCCTGGTTACAAAGAAACTCTGGTGCGGTTCGCTTGTGATGAGAACGTGTTCTGACCTCGATCCGAACCAACTGTAGTCACATGACACATTAGCTATGTTTCCATCCAAAAGTGATTCAAATCATTGGGAAATGCGCATTAAAAGAAATACTAATCCTGTCTGTTTCCATTAAATGTACGGACTTTGGTGAAAACTACGAACTTGCGCAAGTTTTCCACAGAGTCTCGCATTCTTCTTCTTCTATGTTTTCTGGCGGTTCGCAACCAGCTTGTAAATGCATTACTGCCTTCCTGACCCGGAGTGTGGATATCACCATGGAGAGAGGTGCGCTACGTCAGACTTAATTCGAACATAACTGTTTCCATCCCCCGTTTTGTGAATCAACATTTTTTCGAATCAACCAAAACCTGACTAAAACGAGCGTATTTTAGTTTGTGCGAATCAGGGCATCTTAATTCGAATTTTGCCGTTTCCATCATAATTTTCCGATGCGATACTTATAGATGCACATTTAAACAGGCTGATGGAAACATGGCTAATGTTTCGGTTAAACATGAGCATGTTACAGTCCTGGAGGATTATTAATGTGCACCTCCTCCTGTACTGCCTTAATATGCACATTCAGCACATCCAATGCATCAAAACATTGTTTTTGAGTTGGAGCCGCGCCTCGTTTTCAAACTGTATGGTTTGACTAAAATGAACAATGACAGCAATATAGTCCACGATGACCAGCGCTAAAATCAACCTGCGTAGTTGTTCCTCCATTGTGACATTAGAAAGTGTCACATTTATCTTGCAAGTGTACTCTTCTTCAACGTTTGGTTTACTTCCTGGATTTTTCCTGCATGGAAATTCTGACCAATCAAGAGCAGCTTTTTCACGCAAAGCATTTGATCTGGTCCGCTTGTAAATGCTGCCGTGAGAACACGAACCAACTCTAGGTCTGAAAGCACCCTGAGAAGTATATATACTTTCCTTTACTTTCTGTTACAGGTCTCAGATTTGTGTCAGTACAGTGCAGATTTACTTTTCAAAGGAGTCCTATAATGTTTTTAGAAATGCACTTATTCTTTTTCTTTTCAGTATTCTTTTCAGCTAGTTAGCTTATCTTAGCATAAACACTTTAAGGAGGGAAAAGCAGGCATTTCTTGGCATGGTGCACTAACTGTCACATATAACCACCCTTAAACATTTAGTATGTGACATTTAGAGCCTTAATACAGCGACAAGTCACTATTTACTATGTAAAGATATAGTAGAGTGTTAGTGTTCTGAGCAGAGAATGAAATCACGATACCGCTCTGTGTGTTGTAATCCAGGCTTGTCTGTAGTTTGCATGGATGTACAGTATAAAGAGAACTGGATATAGCGTTAGAGGCGGGGCCCCGTTCATTCCTTGCTTAGTGGTGCTTTAGGCCAAAAAAGTTCAGTTGCCATGTATAAAAACTACCTGGAAGGTCACCGCTACTTCCACACTGAAAGCAGGCCCAGCAGAGACTTTTGCCAGCCAAGAACACTACCAACTTCAGTTGGGAAAAATGATTTAGTCATGTGGCTCTTCTAGACTTTCTGTTGTTATTGGATGGCATGGATCAAATTCAGATAGCGAAACGAGAGTTTTTGCGGGGTTGTGATGCTTAAAAAATATATTCAGTGATTTAAAGATGTCTTTTTGGACATGTAAGTCAATGGGACAAAATGTTTGTGATGGTGTAATTCCACTTTTTGGCCACTACAAAATCTGGCTTCAAAGCCTGGTGCACTTCCTCAGGCCTGGTGGTTTGTTTTGTGGTAAGTGCATCCTAGTGCATGTGTGTATCCCACTGGCTAGTTCATTTCCTCTGCTTTGCATTGCATTCATACAGAGGTTATTGCTGATACTGGGACGGGGTCGTTGCGGAAGTGTAGCAACAGTTAACACCCTGAGCTCTGCTAGCACTGTTGCTGTTTATGGAGTTAGCAACGTTAGCTTCTAGCCATGTCCATGTTGAGAACCATGTCCAGAAAACTCATACGCTCTGTATTTTGCATAGAGTCCCTTTCTCTTCCTCTGACGATTATGCAAACAAAATTTAAATCGAATTGAGCTTTAGAAGTGCTTGTATGCTGTTTCCAGTTTTTGTGCTATGCTAAGTTAACCAGCTGTCGGCTGTAGCTTTATTTATTGTGCAGACATGAGAGTGGTATTGATCTCCTCATCTTACCCTCTGCCAGGAAGCAGTTAACAGTGACAGCACTATTAAAGACTTGATTTCTTTTAAGTTTTTCGGATTCTTGTCCTTTTCTGCAGCACTTAATTGCGTGCACTTGCTAGGATAATGAGGAGCTGAACTGCACAATCACTTAATTGAGGCCAAGCATGGAGAAAAATGTAATTATACTGGAGAGATGGGCATCCAAGCCACTGATGCTCTAATTGGATATAGATTAATCTTTTGAACACCATCTCGTCTTAAAGCCAGAGCCATCAGCTCAGTTTTGTTTTTAAGACTGATGTTGCTACAAATTGGTTCAAGACGGATGAATCATTTTTGACTCATGTGGGACTGAATGCAATTAATAATTCAGTGATTCGGTTGAACAGTTAAATCTTAAAAAAGCAGCACCTTGTGGAGTACGTCTGCAGGAGACATACACAACACCTTGGTTGAGTCATATACCCCCTACATACTGTGCCTCGCTTCTGTGTCATTCGCTGTCACAATGTCGGCTGTCAGGAGGGGTTGACTTGCTGACGCATGTGAGTGGGTCAGAGTGTGTGTGCGTGGGTGTGTGGGAACTACGCAGTATGTTTTATTTGCAAGACTGAGACTGGGCTGGTGTGAGCGTGCATACTGCAGGTGTGTTGTGTGTTTGAATGACTTTTCATCACTACAGCATGTGTCCAGGATCAAGCCTCGATAGAAATAACAGGCTTCCTGTTGCCCTTTAAATCCTTTTAAGGAACAGAGATTACGCCTACGCACGCACACGTGATGACACATACGATATGCATTCACCTTCAACCTTTAGTATTTCAATGGACAGACAGAACTATGGCTAAAAAGGAGCCCAGATAACTATACTGTAAAATCATACAAGTTGATCTTACTTGATGTTTTAGTTGTATTTAATTCTTTCGTTTTTTTTTAAGTTGTTGCAGTTTAAAAATAACAAGTGAAATTTACTTGGTCTTTTTAAGTGTGATGAAATCTTAAACAAAGTCAGATTTGTTAAGGAGATTATTTTGTAAGGCTTAAAAGAGAGTGAACACAACTGTTCTGGTAAGTCAGACTAATTTGGTTTAAGTTACTAACACTAAATAAGAATAAGTGAGTTTCACAGGTGATTTTTAAGTTGCAACAGTTTGACAAAATTTAGTAAATAAAACTACTTTTTAATTAAACTTAATTAGATATAGAGAAGACATAACTTAAAGGGTAACTCTGGTATTTTTCATCCTAGACTCTGTTTTCCCAGATGGTTGTGTCTAAGAGACTAGTGGCAACAAAAGTTTTTGAAAGGGTACTGTATTGAGTGAGAGGGCTGCAGTTGGCAGCAGTGAAACAGGGTGCAATGTAATCAGTGGGGGCAATTGCGCACCCTCAG